AACCGTTGCTAAGGTCCCTGTTGCCATAGTATAACCGTTCTGTTACTATAGTAACCGTTGCTAGGGTATTTGTTACCGTCATATAGTAACCGTTGCTATAAGGAACCTGTTACTGTAATAACCATTGGTAAGGTCCCTGTTACCATAGTAACCGTTACTAAGGTCCCTGTTACCATAGTAACCGTTGCTAAGCTCCCTGTTACCATAGTAACCGTTGCTAAGGTCCCTGTTACCATAGTAACCGTTGCTAGGGTATTTGTTACCGTCATATAGTAACCGTTGCTATAAGGAACCTGTTACTGTAATAACCATTGGTAAGGTCCCTGTTACCACAGTAACCGTTACTAAGGTCCCTGTTACCATAGTAACCGTTGCTAAGCTCCCTGTTACCATAGTAACCGTTGCTAAGCTCTCTGTTACCATAGTAACCGTTGCTAAGGTCCCTGTTACCATAGTAACCGTTGCTAAGGTACCTGTTACTATAGTAACCGTTGCTAGGGTATTTATTACCGTAGGAACTGTTGCTAAGGTATTTGTTACTACAGAAACTGTAGCAATAGTAACCTGTCTAATGAAACCTACTACGCGGTATAGTAACCCTTGCTAGGGAATCTATTACCACAGTAACCATTTCTAAGGTATACTTAGTACCATGGCAACCGTTGCTATAAGGTACGTGTTACCATAGAAACTGTTGCTAGGCAACCTATTACCATAGCAACCGTCGCTAGATGTAGTAGGTTCCCCAGCAACGGTTACTATGATAACATTTACTTTGGCAACATATAGAATCCCTACCAAACGGTTGCTACTGTATACCTGTTACAGTAGTAACCGTTGGTAGGGATTCTATTACCGCATAGTAACCGTTGCTAAGGTATTTATTACCATAGTAACCGTTGCTGTTGAACCTACTGCTATATAGCAACCGTTGCTGAGGAATATACCTAACACCTTTTTCTTAAATCGCTATAAAACCGTTATCATTTATATACTTAAAGCCCCGATATGGAATATATATATATATATATATATTCACTAATAATATTTTGATTGTTGCACAAAATGAGTGTGAGTATAGGATAAAAGGAAGATAAAATATACACACATAGGAAGTGGAGGCGCAGCATCCCTATGGATATACACGCGCCAAATACAATGACGTGAAGAATAAAGCTTTGCAAACGAGCATGTCGCTTTTTATGCAGCAATGTGTACTCACGATGTCAGGTGTATGTGTGTGCGCACGTGTGTATATATCAGTTAGTTTTAGCATTGGTGCGCGCATATGTGTTGGCGTAGGTGTATCATGGTTTGGCTCGCCACCGATCTCGAACGTCCCGCTTGGGTGGCCCTTCTCTATATATACCTCTCCAATGGATCCTTCTCCACGTCCACATCCACTCGTACAGTATCCTTTCTCTCTCTCTCTCTCTGTCTCTTTTCCCGTCCCTCTCTCGCACCTATATATACATATATACAGATGATGAATGACTTAGCGCTCCCTTGCTAATCCCCACTTTCCTCATCTTCCTGCCTACCATCATAACCTCCTACTTTAAATGTTACACACCCTTTCAGAAGTCCTCAGAAACCGCACAAGGGGTATATCAATCTCCAATCAACGGATGTCCTTTATGATCATAATCTCACAAGCACCATTTTGTTATTGATCAATATAACACAATAATGCCTACATATATATATATATATATATATATATATATATATATATAATAATTCAATTATACTTTCTAAATTTGAATTAGTGACTATTCGCTGATTCCCAGATGCATACTCTGGGATAATTAAAACAGCGACTATTCGCTATTTTAATCAGCCTAGAGTATGCAGCTATGGGAATCAGCGAATAGTCACTAATTCTTTAGAGAGTACAAGATTCTTTAATTGCGGAGAAAACTGATATCTTTTTTTTAAATGGATTTTTGACTTGTAAAATTATTATTAAAGGTCTTTTTCTAAAAAGAATATAATAAAATGCCCTTAATAAATTCTTTTGTAATGCTTATATATTCGCAAATAGATCCTTTCTATTATTTCCTTTATCTCCCTTCCTCTTTGCCACCTTTAAGAGTAGATGGTGAAGAGCAGGAGAATCCATATCATTATTCATTGCTGACATATAGCTATAGGTTCAATTTACATCTTAGCTGCTATATACCTACATTACTTTGTCTTCATTTCTGCTGTTATATATATATAATTTATCTAAATTGCTACTGATTTAGTTGCAATATACTCAATAATAATAACAATATATATGTATACTCAAAGTTAATCGTCGGGAACAGTTTTAAAATTTCAGATTTTCAAAAAGGAAACCCCTATTACTATTTTTAAAGCACTTTTAAGTTCTTAAATTACACATCATCATCATCAGCAGCTGTTAAGAAAAGTTATCATATCGAGGAAAAGGAAAAAGGAGCAACATGCGTCCGAAACGGGTCATAAACAAGAATAAGAGCATATATACATACAACAACGAGAATGATATGGGACTCCTATGGTTTGTTCTGTGGTCGACTTCACAAGTCGCTTAGCTACCTGAAGGGTCGAGGGCCCAAACTATATCTATATATATATATATATATATATATTTTATAACCAAAAAGGCCCTTTCATGTTTCACTACGGAGGCACCCAGCGTGTCGAATAGAATTCAGGAGGCTGTAGTCTCGCGCAGATAGGTATATTTTGACATCCCGAGAAATTAGTATAATAAAGGGGGCCAAGGTAAAGGCGCCCAGAGTGCCTAAACACACGCCGTAAATCTCCCCCGTCGCTCTCCAAGAGACCACCACTATATAAATGCATGTATATGTATATATATATGCTCCAGGGTTCTTTAATGTTACCTAAACTACCAGGGAGGACGACAACGATGCGTCTTCTGGTATTATAAGGCATATATATATATATATATTTGATCGATCGTGATATGTCTGCGTCTTGTTGTGTAACGGTCTTTATTGCGTTTTTCCACTTCTTATATGCGCCTTTCTATCCTCTCGTCAATACTTATTGTCCCCTCCTAAAAATATCGTTACAGTCTCTTAAAAAATGATTGCTGATGATTTATTACGTACCAGTATATATTCGGTGTTATTTTCGATTAGCATTCTAAGTGCAGCCTATGATTTGACGATAAATTTCACTTAATGTGACCGAGTTTATAATTAATTCTTTTTAGAATTTATAGTTATATATTTCTTCATTCCCAATTTTATATCTGATTGAAATAACAATTGTTAGAGAAGATTTTGACAATCTAATTACTGGTGCGGTTAAAACTGATTTCTAAATTTATGGCTGATAGGTATCCCTAACCTTAAGTCCAATTGAAGAAATAATACCGCGGCAAGTGAAACACTATGCGGACTTTCTTTAATCTCGGTTTTTTAAATCAAAATATTTCAGATTTTCCGGATTTTGGAAGTATTTAGATTAAAATCGTAAAATCATAATTTTACAGAGTTTTTTAAGCTAGAAGCATAATGTCTAGGTCACCCAAGCTGGCGTCAAAAAAAAAAAAAAAAAAAAAAAATACAAATTAATGGATAAGTGAAACATACCAGCTCTTTTAAACGAAAACGCCGAAACAGAAGATTTTGACAATCTAATTACTGATGCGGTCAAAACTGATTTCTAAATTTATGGCTGTTAGCACAACCTGGCGTCTAAATAAACAAAAACCAAACTCTTCAATTAATTATGGATAAAAGTGAAACACTGGACTTTTCTTAATTTCTCCGTTTTTTAAACCAAATGTCAAAATACCAGATTTTTCTGTAGACTTTGGAAGAATTATTATAGAGTAAAATCGTAGAATCAAAATCTTTTCTTAAACCTAAAAGCATAATGCTTCCAAAATCCACAGGAAAATCTGGTGCTTTAACGTTTGGTTTAAAAAACAGACTTTAAGGAATGTCTATTAATAAATTGCAGAATTCGGTTTTTGTTTAGTTGGAGACGCCAGGTTGCCCTAACAACCATAAATTTAGAAATCGGTTTTGACCGCATCAGTATAATTAGATTGTCAAAAATTTTCTCTTTCGACGTTTTGATTTAAAAAAACAGCCTTTCGAGAAACTCCAGTGTTTCGCGCACTTATCCAATAAATTGCAGTATTCGGTTTTTGTTTAATTCGCCTTCAGGTTGAGGGACCTAAACATTATGCTTCTATAAGAAAGTCTAGAAGATTTTGATTCTACAATTTGAATCTATAATATACTTCCAAAATCCACAGGAAAATCTATACTGTTTTGGCGTTTCGTATTTTTTTCAGCCGCACCATCAGAGAGGTACTATCACAAATATAACCTAATGATGATTAAAAATAACAATTACAGAGAGGATTTGGAAACCTGAAAAATGGCAATAACAAGACATCTTATCGACAACTTCGGATGCACCTAAATCGGAGGGCAACCACCATAAGTCCCTGTAATCCTCATCTTTACCTAACCATCAGCCATTGGAGTAAGTCTATATAAACAGCAGCAGCAGCAGCAGCAGCAGCATCAGAAGCATCAGCAGCAACCTCCTGAAGCTTTGGAGAGTATTCCCCTTGACGCGCGCGAATATACCTTTATTAGCGCCTACTCACCGCCACGACTCTTCGCATGGTTGGATGAGCACGTTGCCAGCCATCAGGCTTGGTCGATCGATCTCTTTCGGCACCCACCAATGTTACTGCCGCTCATATACACATATACATTGTGGGTTGTGTTGAGATGAGCAAAAGGGGGCCGACAACCAAAGGGGGACGTGGCAAGTCCAGCCTCCTGTCGCACCGAATTATCGTTTCCCTCAAGTCCCTAACCAATGGGAGTGGGTCTTTCTTTTACGTTCACGCTCTTCTTGGCCTCGCCTCCTTCTCCCATCAAAAGAGAGAGAGCTAACACTGCGCGCGCATTTCAGTTATCACGATAACCCTCAACAACTTTTGGACGAGTAGTGGGGTAACCAAACGTGGGAGGAGGAGGAGTAGGAGGTCAGTGGAGTTCGGGTAGTCGAGCAGCGCAGACGCGTTGTGCGCCTGAGCAAATTTCTCTCTCACTATACAAAAGTTTCGACTTTCTTGTTGTGCTTCGTTGATGAACCCTTGTGAACTGTTCCAAAGAGTGACGACAATTTGTGTTTAATTTAAAAGAAATCAGGGCAAAAAAAAAATCCGAGACAATTCTGTAATAAAAAAAAAAAAGAATTTTGCCGTCGGGAGTGCGATATAAGAGGGTTGTGAGAGAGGTTTTTTTTTTGCAAAATTAAAGTGAAGGGATAGTTAAAAGACACGGGTTTAAGGAAGAGGATTTGGTAAAAGAGTGATTGCAAAAGAGGAATGAAGGGGGAAAGGGGTAAAGCGACGGACTTCAGCATCGCGGCCATCATGGCGCCCAGGGGTCCGTCCTTCGGACATTACCACCTGCAGGGCCTTAGTGGTAACGCGTCGGCCAACACCAATGTGGAATGCGGCAGCAAGGCTTTCAGCACACTTGACCACCGTGAGTTACTTTCCCCGCGAGAGAATATATATTTTTTTATTTTCTTATTGGGGAATTTCATTTTTCACATCATATTTCTTACGGTTGTTTGATCCCTAAACTTATCTGTATACTGTTGTCAGGATACAGCAAAATTTAAATTAACTTAGAGGCCATCCATAAACTACATTACCTTTATTTTAGGGGAGGAAGGGAGGGTCTAACAAGAATGAAAAATTGGTAACGTATGAATGGCCCCTTATTAGCAGATAAAAATAGTCAAATTCATAACTAAGATCAATTGTAAAATGTAAACTTACATGTTCTATCGAAGAATTATACGGATTTTGAATCAAATTTCGAAATAGGAGTTGAGTATTTTTTTCCAACCTTATAACCTGCAACAAAAAATTAGTTTGTTTTATAGAATAATGATTTTAACATAAAAACAAAATAGAATTTGCTGCGTCTATAAATTCCAAACCTTAATAATTTATTTCCACTTTCGAAAGTGGCAACTTTTACTTTTTTTCATTTATCAAAAACTAACGCTTTTATTAAAAAATTGCTATTATAATTTTGTTTCTATATTCTCTACAACATTACACATATTATTTATGTAGACCATCCGTGCAATTATCGTGAGTTTGTACATATATTAATTGTTTTCTTTTGATAAATATACTTAGTAATGTCTAGTTTATTAATTTATAGGCATTACAACAATTTTAATTAACGTTAAATAAAAATTATGTTTATAATTCTTGTCCGCAGTACCAACTTCTAAAATGGACACAATTTTGTTAAAGAAAACAAAGAAACAAAAAATTCTTTAAAAATATACGCAATCACAGAAAATTAAAAGGCATTAAAATAAGTTGCAACGCTTCTTATTTTAATCGATTTTGGTATTAAAATAAGCAAAATTGAATTAAGCTTATTTTAATGCCTTTTAATTTTCTGTGATATAATGACTGTTAAACTGATAAATAATGGATATAGAGTCTTGCCATACTCGAAATTTAAGGTTCCAAAAACATACACTGTAAAAAGAAAATAAAACATTATCGATTTTAGGTATCAAAATAGAACCTTTACAGTGTGTATTGATGAGAAAATTTTTTTTTGAAAGAGAAACTGAAGAAAGAACGCACTCCAAATACCTGTCACAAGAGAATAAATAATGATGAAGAAAAAATTTCGATAGTTTTATGATTTATATTTAAGAATCATATTTAGACATTAGAGAGTAATAAAATTTTAAATATGTGTTTTCGAAGAAGTAATTTTTAAAGTAAATTCACAATGCTAAACTAGTGTTAAACCCTTGGTAAATCCTCTCTAAACACTAAACATTAATCTCGAGAGCAACATATCGTTAACTCTACAGCTATATAGAAGTACCTAAATGGAGGCCACTTTCGCTTTCCCAACTTCTTGATTATGTTCCCGCGGCTACTATATAATTATTCAAAGATGTAATTAGAACCGCTTGGATTTAGAAGATAGGAAAATTGTTTTTTCACAGTTCATATAGGTATATATATATATATTTAAAACTCTGAGCCAAAAAAAGGTTCTGTTCTTCGATTTTCTTGAAATAATATTGTATATAGGGTCTTGGGTGTTATTTCATCAGATGTTTGGTTATTTAAATATATATGTTTTTGAGACATGATTTGTAATGTGATCGAAGAATAAGAGGAAATTTTTGGAGTGTACACCACCTTCTCTTTTTTCTTTCTCTCTCTCTCTCTCTTTCTCTGTTCTTTGGAGGGCTTGGGCGGTGACAGGATTCTGGGTGGTCGTTGCACGACGGGCGTAGGCAAAAGGAAGCTTACGTCAGAAACTGCACACGCTCATATTTCTTCTCACTTCAGAAATGAGAGCGCGAGTAGCAGAGATCACGTTTGTCGTATTGTGACCGCAGTACTATTTTAATAAGGATCGCGCCACGCCATGTTTTCACTATGGCATATCTAAAAACATTTTTACATATATTTGAAAAACCACCGCAAAACATGAAATTTACAATCTACGCAATGAAAGATTTAAGTTTCAAAATTTATTCTAAAATCTACATTTTTTATTGTAAATATTATACAATCCGTTTGTAAATGTTATATGCAATCCGAACTGTAAAAGTTGCAATCTGTATATTGTTATTATTACAATCCGTACTACAAGTTACAATTTGTACTGTTAGATTTGCAAAATGTATTGTAATTTTTACTATCCGTATAGTAAATTTTGCAATCCGTACTGTAAAGATTACAGTCTGTATTGTGATGGCTATAATCTACATTGTAATTTTTACAATCCTTACGGTAATTTATGCAACCTGTACTGTAGAGTTGAAAATCTGTACTGCGAGTACTGCGATAAATATTGTAAATACTACAATACGTATTGCAAATCCTATATACTATCCACTTTTTCCCCACGGTTTTTGATTTTCTTTGCGGAAAGGTCATAAAATCGACACATTTTCCCAAAGATTGAAAAGAAAATTCTTTTCCTATATAATTTCTCATCACATAACTCCCTAGTAGACTACTTTTCTACTACTAATTATCAATTAGTAAACATTTATCACTTGAACAATATATATATATATATATATATATTTGACGTCGCAATTTTTCAATAAAAATAAGTGCGGCACAACCAATAATTGCTCAATCGAGATAAGAAATAATTACTCCTTTTTGAAAGTAGTAATTTCCCGAAAAAAAATACAAAGAAAAACTTTAACTAAATTGAAACTGTTTTCTATATATAAACTATGTAATTTTCTTTAAGTACAGTCTTTCGCTACCGCGAGAGAACACTTAAAATCAGGTATCGAATATATTTTTATTTCCCACGAATATATATAGCGACTTGAAAATCCTTTGTAAGGTTACCAAACTGGATTATATCATTGTAACATTATATTATATATATATATATATGAAATAAACATATTATGTAAATTTTTTTTCTTTTATAATTTTCATATTGTATTTCTATATTTTTAAAATTTAGATAAATATTGTAAAAAATATGATTAAAGGATTTTATTTTTTTATAATCGGAAAATAATAGTTGAAAAGTTATAAGTTTAGATCAATCATTTATACGATAAAATTAAAATCTATTTTCAATATAAGATTAATAAAATAAATTTCAAATCTTTCACGCAATTGAAATTGTTTTCTTTAAAGGATTTTTAAAGTCAATGGCCGCGCGCGTGTATAGATCATATGCTATAAAACACGAGTAAATAGAGTTATTAGAATCTTATGACGGATAATAACTGAAGTAAACTGTGAAACTTTATTGCACTTATTAGTTTTCCAATATTGAAGCTACCCAATTTGCCAACACCATTGTTCAGTAAAATCTCATATACCATAATAGTCAGGCATAATTTACAATATCTACTACATAAAAACAGTCATTAAATGACATTCTAACTGTAATTTCTTTTCTCTAATATATAGTATATGCGTATTAAGCTATTAATGACCGCATATACGGATTTAGTTTTCAATAAAGTTACTTATAATCATTCTTCTATACCTTAAACAACGTAATTTGTAAATACTTTCAAAATTGTAACATCTACAATCTGTATTGTAAAGATTACACTTCCGTACTGTAAGGGTTGCAATCTGTATTGTGAAGGCTACAATCCATATTGTAATTTCTACCATCAGTATGGTAAATTTTATAATCCGTACTAAAAATACTACAATTTGTATTGCGAAAACAACAATTCATATTGTAATTTTTACCATCCGTATATGGTAAATTTTGCAACCTGTACTGTAGGTCTTACAATCTGTATTGTAACTATATATATAGTGATAAATATTGTAAATATTACAAAATACGTAATGCAAATGCTACTATACACTTTTTCCCCGCACGTTTTTTTGATTTTCATTGCCACTAGGAAATTTCATGTTAAATATTTAGTTTAAACGAATATATATCGATGAATCCATCTGCCCAATATATATATGTATATATATTCTCTGAACAAGCATGAAAACGTGTATATATACACGTATATACACTGTAAAAAATTTTGGGAATTATCAACAACTTTTATTGGTGAATATTTCATATTTTTGGGGAAAATGTTTTCCCCAAAAAAATAAGTGATTGTTTTCCTAAATTTTGGTGAAAATTTCCTAAAATTCTAATGTATATATTTTCCCTAAAAAGAGTTGGTGAAGATTTCTCAAAATTCCAATGAATATATTTTTCCCCAAAAACAAGTGGTGAATATTCCTCAATTTTTTTGAAATCCTTCTTCAAAAAAGTTAAACTTTAAACTTACTTAAGTTACAAAAAGTTATTTGTAACTTGTAATATAATTTATTCATTTCATAGATAAGTTAATTATAACTTAACTAAATAAGTATTTTTAAGTAGACAAAAATTTATATTTCTAAAGAATTAAATTAAAATTTAATCAATATTTGTTTAACAGATCTTATTTTATTTATTATATAACATAAGTCACAACTATTTTCAACGTTTGTTTCCTTTTTTTAAAGTTACAAAGCATGTTTACATAGTTTCATCTTATATATTGAAATTATCATTTTATTTTCATGAGCCTCCGTGGCGTAGTTAGTAGAGCGTTAGACTTCTAAATCTCTCCTAATGACGCTTACGTTCGAGACCTCATGATAATATTTGATAATTTTCAAGAAAACAAATTTTCATCAATAGGTACCAATAAATAATGTAAGTAAGATATAAATGCTGCATGAATCAAATTTTTAAATTTTTATTTCAATTTTTTAAACTATTGATATTAATCTTTGGGAAAATCCACTAATATTTATGGAATATTCCCTAAAATTTTAGGGAAAAGTTTCCCCAGAAAATTTTAGGGAATTTTCCACAAAATGCCCTGCAAATTTGCGTCACTAGAATTTTGGGGAATTTTAACCAAAAAATTTTTTACAGTGTATTTATAAACGCAAGTGGTGTATACTTTTATGACGTGAACATTGCCGACATATCCGGTCAGTCGTTTGTACATTTTTAATTGACAATTTACAAACAATTTTGATATTTCAAAATTCATATAAATGCAGATTTCAATTATATATAACACATATATATAACATCGTAAAATTATACTTTTGAAATCAAATATTTTGTTATTATATATGTTTAAAATGCAAAAGAAAATTTTTTTAAATTCATTGCAATAATAATGTTCATATAATAATAATAATATGATGCATTAAACGATTTTAAACATTTTACTTTAAAATATATGTTTGAAAGTATATATGGTAAATTTCATATATTCTTGAAATGAATAATTATAGGCGTTATGTAAAATATATATTTAATTTCCAGTATAATTTAAAAAATTATTTCAAGTGTCAAAGCTTCAAATTTCAATTTACACATACGTCTACATATATACCGAATATTGTGAAGATCATTGTCGTTATATTATATGTGTTATATTCACAAAAGCATAATTTCTCCTTGGGGCTTTATTTATCCTTATATACATGGGAGGAGTATAATATACATTATATATATACTCTTTCACGAGTTATATATATATATATATATATATATATATATATATATATATATATATATATATATATATATATATATATATATATGCACCTTTTTAAATGCAAAATATAAAGTGAGCCTTTATTGTTATTATTATATACTGTGCGGTACAGTTTACTAAGATATGATAATATGTGTGCGGCAAATGCTACACTATCACTATCATTATATTACATGGCGATGAAAACATTGAAGGTGAGCCTCGTATCAGAAGGACGTGTCACGACACATGTAATCTGTCTCGGGAACAAGTTTCCTTCATTCAGATTAGATAGCAATAAACGTTAGGAAATTTGCTTCAATAGTGTGAAAGCCCGCATGAATATCAAAATACATAAAATTACAATTTATTATTTATATATATATAGACATCTTTCTTATATACGAGTGTCGGTATAATTCCAAAAAGGAATAATTTTCGTTATTTCTGCACTTTTTTTTTTTTAAGTTTTAGTGGGAAAAGTAACCACTTTCCGTTCTATATTCTAAAAGGAAGAATTTTCGCCCCGCGTTCCGCGCACTTGTTGTTACAGTGGGAAAAGTATCTATTTTTCGCACAGTGAGAAAAGTAACCACTTTCCACACATTTGAATAACAGTGCGAAAAGTAACGACTTTCTACACTATATCTAACAATGAAATCACTTTAAGCACCATTCAGAGTTATTAAAAATCTTGATTAATGTACACAAGAGGGTTAAATTCTCGCCGCACAGAAAACAATATTCTTTCTTCTATAAAATGCATAACAAGTCTTAGGAAACAAATGCAGGAAACATTGCCAGAAACGCATATTCCGGGAAACAATATATATTATTATTTTTATACTCTTTTTATTTTTTTTATATAAAGAGACAAGAATTAATGTGACGAGCTGTACAAGTTTCTTGCATGTAGATTCCACAAAGACGTATATACTATATAACGTATTATTTACGGATCCAATTTAAGATACCGAAGGGAAGAATTATTGCCAACATATATATATATAGTGTATATATATATGAGCATTTGTGTGTATAACGCGCAGAGTCAGCATAGATTCGTATCTGCGCGTACACGTAATTAACGTTAAATGCATTAACGCAAAGTGCGTTTTCATGAAATCTGACGGTTTAATTAGGTTACTTACTTGGCGAGTATATATAAGCAACGGATCCGACCGCGGATCAATTAATTATCCTCATTAATTCGCAACATATCTCTAACCCCTGGCAAATAATCGTTCAAGATCACTTTGTTAGCACAAGACTTAGTAACAATAGCCAATAATAATAAAGAAAAAAAAAAAAAAAAAAAGAAACCAACCAACTGTCAGCAGGTGTGGCTAGAAATCTCAACACATTTTACTGTAAAACGAATTTTTTATGTCTTATAGAAAATATTTGTATTTAAGCAAAATATATAATTTATTTTGAATTAAGTAAAAATATATTAAAGAAAAATTATATATAATAAATATTTCTTTCAAATTAAGATTTGGTTTACTTTATTTTATGGTTAGTTTTTATTACACTGAAATTAATAAATAAATAAAATAAAATTTTGATAATTTAAATTTCTGTTTGCAATGCTGTCAGCAGCTGTGGCTGTTATACAATCATTATATATATATATATATATATATATAGATAAATCTGAATGTAAGCATTTATGTGATCGTTTTGAAATCACCTATCTCCCGCGTAATTATACGAAATCCGGTTGCAATTTGTTTCCTTCCTATAAACAATAGTTTTTCATTAATGAAATTCTCACTTGTTTCTCGCAAAATTTATAATACAACGGAATTCTATAAATTGTAACTTCTTTTTCATTTTATTTATCCTTTTTTTCATAATTGGATTAATCGAGTACAGAGCATAAAATTTCGAACATATTATGTTTCCTTACATCCGGCAATATCACATACTCTCGCATATATATATATATAGTTCTTGAAAAGTGAGCAATTTTTATCGGGATGTGTCATGATAAATATATAAAAGATTACAATCTCAGAAAAAAAATTCTCTTAATTATATTTTATATATTTATATATATATATATATATATATATATATATATATATATATATATACCAACTCTTGTACTTTTTTTCCTTCCTTATTGTTAATGAAAGATATATGTTGTCAGAAACATACTTCTTGAAAAGATAAATATGTAATTGAAATAAATTTCTCAGTGTTTATTATTATAATATAATGCATATAGTGATAGTGCACCGAGGGAAAAAAACTAATTTACCAGAAAATGATATACTACTGCTGAATGAAACAAATTAGTCCAAGGTAAATACAGAACGTGCTTTTATATATATATATAGAAAAAAGGGGGAAAAAAGTATAATATGTAATGAACATTTTTCTTTCATCGTCAAACGATTATATATAATAATATCAGAAGACTGATGTTTTAATTAAAAATTGACTCAATGTGAGAGGCTCAAACTAATAATCAACATACATATATACTGGTTTATTACATTTTCTAATAGTTATATGACAAAAAAAGAGTCATAACTTCATTTGCATGTAACATCGATGACAAGAAGTTATCTGTTTTTGCATTATGGAATACATTTTTTATGACAAAAAATTGTTAAACACTTTATGTGTCACATGTTTGGTATATACAATGTCTCGCAATGAGGAAAAGTAGTTGATGATTTGCATATTACAAATTAAAATCGATGATATATCTCGTTTGCATGAAATGACTATAATTTTTATAAAAAAAAAAAAGAATCAGTTTTTATTTTCTCAATAAAGAGAGAATGAAATTCATCTCTTATTTGTTTGATAATTGTCAAAACAGAAGATTGTTTATAGATCATATATAAGTACTGTGGATAAACCGATAAAAGGAATATTATAGATAAAAAAAAGAATTGATTATAGCGACAATGTGGATGGTCGTAGATATTAATTAATGACACGAAAACCAGTTTTGTAGTTGGAGAAGTCAGGGAGGTGTATACCAGGCGAAGTTTAATGCGACAGAATTATCTAAGGATTATGCCAGAAGCGTGTAATGTTCGAAGTTAATGTACCTTACAAATGAGTCACATATACAGAGAGAGGTCGCGCAGATTTCTCTTGTTGCTTCCTCCAAATTAACTTTGTTAATACACTCCTAACATTATAGATGATCAATAAGTTATTAAAAGTTCTAAATATTCCTCTAATTCAAATTAATTTATATTGATATTTATTCATACAAAACCTTCTAATTAATATAATTCTCAGACGTTAAACATTTTAATAATAATAATTTCCGTTTTTGTCAAAGCTTTATTATTTTATTTATGTCAAAATTATTATTTAAAACAAATCTAGCTATTACAATTAATATTTTCTTTTACGCGGAGACATTTTTTTTTGTTAATGAATGAAAAATCATTTCTCGTTTCAAATTTTATTTCTTTTTTTTGTAATTATAGAAGTTATAGTTGCATGGTCAAGGTGAGAATAATGATTAAAGACTTTTAGATAATCTTGATTCTTAATGTATTCATACGTATTAAAATGTCACAAGTTAAACTCGGGTATATAAAGTTTAATGAATATCAATATTAATAATGATAAATAAAGTTTTGCATTTGCTTGTCATAAAAATCAATTCAATCTTAAATGCATACGCATTTGTCATATATATATATATATATATATATATATATATATATATATATATATATATATATATATATATATATATATATATATATATATATATACATATATAACACGTATCAGGACATCGATTTATTAAAAAAAATTATATTTATCACTAGATATATACATTAACATTCATACTCTATTATGTATAATTACAAATGTTAAAAACTTTTCAATACTTTTTAAAATAAAAAATTTTGAATTTTTTTAAAATTAAATTTTAATTATAAATAAATGCTAAACTTTTAAAAAATTTCTGAAATAAAGAAAAATAAGGTGAAATGTTGAATATGCAATTATTACAAACTTAAAATATGATTTGATAAAAAAATATTTTATGAAAAAAATGGAGGGAATCGAGATTATCTTATGGAAATAGATAACAGAGCAAAATAAGGTAATTCAAAGTAATTAAAACGTATGCATTGTGTTTACGTTAGCGATAAGTGGGCATCATTAATTATGTTTTCTTTAATTATATTTATATGTTTTAAAAAGAGGGTCCCATTCAATGTTATATGTTACTGTATTATAATTAATTTGATAATAAATCGAGATATATTTAAAAGTTAGAATATAGTTATATATTTGTAAAGATATATATTTTTAATATTTCTATTCTAAAATCACGTTTTAGAATTGACATTTTAATATTTGACCTAATTATCATTTAACTTATTCTTTATCTGGATTCGTTCTTATAGGGAACATAATCTAGATTCGAAATAATTTTTATTTGTCCAGATAAGTAAATCTTATAGTTAATTTTCTTCTACTGATATAATTAATATTTGTCATTCTCGACTGTTGGACATATACATTTAAATCATATGCCTTTGGTGACTTTTAACAATACACTTCCTGCAAAAAAAATTATAATTAAGAAACACATGTTCATTTTGAATAAATAAGCAATCACAATTAAAAAAAATAATTCCGCAAGTTTTAATTAAAAATTTGTTGTCATTTGTATATTTTCAGAGGATGTTAGAGCGCCAGTGAATATTGTTGCGACAGCAACTGTTGTAACGAACGATGCACTTTTGGACGATGATGAGCTGGGTGAAGAAGGAATTGGTGAGGTCGAAAGTGAAGGAACTGAGAAATCTGCAAATGAGGAAGACGAGGAGATCGATGTTGATGTTGAGGAGTGCAGTAGTGTTGATGAGGGACCGGTTGGTTTTGTCGATGATCTCTCATCAAGCAGGAAATATCAGAATGGCAATGATGTTGAGAGGAAACATCGAAGAAGAACAACCTGTAATTCCGACGAATTAAGGGATGTTGAATGTCATCTTGAGACTAAGGAACTTTGGGACAAGTTCAATGACCTTGGCACAGAGATGATCATTACGAAAACCGGCAGGTAAGTGTCGTTTCTTCTTTATATCATTGCACGCAACTCATCCAACACCTAATAATATACTCCATACCGCTCGCAAAGTATAATTTTTATCAAACATAAAATTCTTTCCTTATTTTTTTTTCTCCCCTATATCATTATACATTTCAACAAAGTTTCCTTCTTTTAACTCTGTTGCAAAATAATTACAAAAAAAAAAATCAAAGAATATCACTTTCAAAAAGATTCTGACAAAAAATCGAAATGATTCTATTGTGTTATATAACATTAAATCCTCCTACAAAAATTGTGCTCCTCCCATAATCGACCACCTTGGAAATTGATTAACCCATAAAGAACCTAAACGAAAAGAAATTAATTTGATCTTATCCTTAAGGAAGTGAGCCCTTTTTTAGAGAGAGAACTGTTGACGTTCACGCTTGGATTAGCAATGGCCAAAAAGAAGATAAATAACCAAAAATAAAAAGAAAAAGCGAGGCCCGGGCCACGCCTTTTATGATAAATGACCACTGGACAATTAAAACCCGCTGCCGAGTATCAGCGCGCGTTCACTTGAACTTTTACGAGATATTTAAGGGAGTCCTAGATATAATTTATAATCCCCCATTACGTACACCAATGTTGGTATATCGTGTCCATTTTTATAGGTATGCTAATAAAGTTCAACTCGCAGCTGCACGCCCGTTTCTCTCTCTCTATATATATATATATGCGTGACCGCGTAAAAATTATGAGATATATGTAAACTGGCAAATGAAATATATAATTTTTTTTATATTTAATACAACAATCCTAATAATAATAATAATAATCGAATATAGGGTGGAAATAACTGACCTTGAAATTTTACTTTCTGTTTCATAAATGACGTTAAACTTTTTTTTTTTATTTTTTAATTATTACCTATATGTAATTTCGCCTTCTGTAATTGGTTTTTAGGCGTCAATATATTAACGGTTCGCCTCATCAAAAGCAGTAGCCTCAACGATTATGAAGTTAATTATCAGGAAGCGACTATATATTTTTTTTTGTTGTACCGTTCGCCAAACCATTATAATGATTAATTATCTTTGGTGTCAGTGCCCACGTGGGATTATAAGTAATGAAATTTTTGTTATAACTTACTTTAAACATTATTCTTAAATTATTGAATTTCTTCTATTGAAATCTGACAAATATGTATACGATTTTATAATTCTATTGTAGAATTGACAACAATAATGGGAAATTTCAAGGAAACATTTCCGAATTGGAATATTTTAATGCAAAAATGAAAATCAGCAAGGTCGACTTGGCTTTGTTCGCGTGGATATAAAAATTAAGGCCAAGTTTTAGTAAGAAGAAGAAAAAAGAAGTAGAAGGGATCTGAGAGCAAAAAAAAAAAAAAAGAGAGAGTCAAAAAGCAAAAGCTGTAAAGCAAAAAGGCGGGTGCCAACGTGGGAAAAATGAATCAAGAATATAAGTGAGAAACGAGTCCTTGAAGAGCGCGCCAGAGGATGCTATCCTGGCCCCCTGATGGGACATACAATTCCACCTGATTGGTCCGAATTCGTATTGTCGCCTATATAAGACTGACAGTTTGTTAAGCGGGGAATTCCATGCAGTGTATATATATAAGCTAACGATCCTATTCGTTGCTCCAACGTCGCGATATTATCGATCGCATTTATATATACCTAAACTGCTTCTCAATTCTTCAAATTTCACGCATATTCAACCTATTCGTTTATATCAAATTTCCCCCTGCCAAATACTAAATTAATATATCGCACACTGAAATACTTTTTATTTCAAAAGTCAATATAATTTGTTTCAAAATCAGGAAAACTGTTTTTGTACTATTTAGTTGTATGAACGTACTACCCTTACAGTTCCGGATATTTAAGGATATCTATTTGAATCCAGCAGTTTGGATATCCTGAGGATGTCCTAGAATATCATCTGGATATCAAAATCACCGGAAGCAAATGAATATCCTTAAATATCCGGTACTGTGAGGGTAGTTTCTAACCAACACCAAAAATTAATATGGTCCATACTAATTTTCAGTAGTATCTAATCAGAAACTAGTACGTTCATAAATAGTACAAAAACAGTTTTCCTCACACTTACAAAACAGTCTATTCACGTAAAGAAGATTCCTCTTATGTTATAAAAATATTCCTTTTGTCATAAAAATTACTTTTAATATAAAACGATTCTCAACATACGTTCCTTTTAAATTTCAAAGAACTGTTTTGTGAGTGCACTTTGAAACAAATTATTTTTGAAATAAATTCTTAGTGCACATAAACGTGCTGATAAATATTTTCTTCTACTGATATAATTAACATTTGTCATTCTCGACAGATGGACACATACATTTAAGTTATGTCTTTGGTGATTTTTCCCAAGTAGGCTCCAGCTAAAAAAAGACAAAAATTATATAATTAGGTCAATAGATCATAGCAATATGTATTTGGTTAAATATAAATTAGGCTAAAGCATATAATTATTTCTTAAATTATTCTAAAGATGATAAGTTTTTGGCAAAATGAGAAGCAATTTAAGATTTAAAGAGTGAATCGATTCCTATTTATAAGCAAACTTTACACCCGTATATCATAAATCTTTTAGCCGATGCGCGCACCTACTATATATATATATATAGTAGGCGTGAATTGCAAGTTAAAAAGTTGTTGGCGAGGCCGCTTCCACTGACTTGACAAGGACTGTGAACTTCACCATCAGAGAGAGGTGCGGACGAGCAGGTCAGGAGAGACAGGATACAGCGGATACCCGCGCGTATAGTCGTCACGCGAACCCTTCATCAGCAACCTATATTATATACACCAACACGTGCTAATGTGCGGGGTAAATGTGCACGAAAACGTTCGTGTTTGGACACTGACACTCTCATGTATGAGCTTCATACATTTCATGAGCGCAGAGAGAAAAAAGATAGAAGTGAAAAAAAGAAAGAAAAGAAATATATGTATGATAGCCTCGCATAATTATTATATAGTGACACCACCTGGTAGGGTTGTGGAGTCGTTAGCTTGGTAAACAGTTAAGTAACTCAGATGGTTACACGGGATTATTACTATAATATTCCCTTTGCTTCCATAATTCATTTGTTTGTCTTTCTTTTTTTTACTTTTCTTTTACTTTAATTTGATACTACAAAATTATTTTCAAATCCAAGGATTCAAGAATTCTTCTTTTGCTCTAATATTTAAACTATTTTGTCACCTTTTTTTTTATAAATAATGAAAGTTTAACTTTCTTTAATTTTTCAACGTGCTTTTAAAAGTTGAAGGATCAAAAGCGGTTTTGCTTTACACTCTCTGTCAAAAAGTGTTGGCTTGATAGACAAGTGTTGCGGCCACTTTCGCCTAATTACTAACTCTAATTTCCCCTTTGTCAGAAGAAATATTGCCCCACGTCTTCTTTAGGTATTAGTGTGTTAGTTACGGTTTCCTTTCGATTCTAATACCCCAGAGATTAATTTTAGGGAAACAGGGTCGCTTCTGATAGAAATAATAATAATAATAAAAAGGTATATATGCCTTTTAATATATGTCTTCTCATTAAGGCGAAGAAATTGAAATATATTGAAGATCATAAATTATTCTCCTACACTATATTTGTCATTTTCAATTTGGAAACACCCAAAATATTTACCATGAATAAATAATAAGTTCTTAATATATAGAGATGAATGTATATATTTAAATGATATAAACTTTAACAAGAATTATATATATCTGGTATTATATATATACATTCAAGAATTAACTGCAATTTCGACATCTGTTCAAAATGGGAAACAATGAAATTGTCAATAAGCCACAAAGTTGTGCAGCAAGAAAATGTGGATAATATTTATGATGTCGAATAAATGCAGCAATTAATGAATGTAAAATAATGTAAAAAAAGAAAATTTTCATATAATGAATGAAACATCCAGTTTTCTTGATTTTTTGAATATTTTTCAAATTCTCTGGTAATCGTCGTAAAATTATCAATTGTTTTTTTCTATTTTTACAATCATGATTTATTTCTGATGTATTAGTATCAATTATATTTTCATTTAATGAATTACATAATCCTGGACACTTTATAGGCTGACCTAATCGATTTCTTTTGCCCTGAAGTTTTTTCATGTTAATTGGCGTCTTTCTAAAATTAAAAAATTTTTAGCTATAGAAACAGAAGATTTGAATCTATTCGAATAAATTATTCAACTAATGTAATTGTGATAAAATAGTGGTTATAAAGTTGTCATCGAGGAAGTCATTGCATGTTAAGTGTATTTTATGACAGAGTGAAAACAATAAAACATCGGAAAGAGAGAGAGAGAGAAAAAAAAGGAGCTATATGACAGAAAATTTTACACGTCTCATAATCTTGTCTACTTACAATAGTTGCAGACAAAAGAGAGGGTTATTTTGTTATTTGTGGCACGTGCGTTTACAACGCGTTTCAAAAGCCGAAGGTGTTGAGACGACTGCGTGTAACGAGGTTCAAGGGTGACTCGCTCGTATAACGATGTTTGAAAAGCCTGCGGGCGTTCCTTTCAATCATATATAGGCACGAGTATAGACTAGACACAGTGGAGGCGTTTTTCATCTAGCCACTAGAAAGCATTATAATATTATATAGAGAAAATAAATGCCTATATTACATACTTTCAAACTCACGTCAATAAACCTCATAATTCTCTCCTTATAACCACAATAAAACATTTCCCTATTTACCTTCAATTTATTCAAAACATTAACCAAAAATTTTTTTGACATTTGTTAAATGACTGTCAATTATTTTTTTTTTTAAAGAGAAAGGGGAGAATTTTAAAAGACGAGCGATCAGTGTTTGGAGCGTGAAATTCTTTAGATTTTGAATTGAAATCGAGATGTTAATCAAAGCAACATATCATTTTATGTTTGATTTTTTTTTTTTGACAGACGAATGTTTCCGACCTGTCGTGTGTCCTTCAGTGGATTAAGGTCCGACGGGCATTACGCCGTTTTGATGGATATCGTACCAGTGGACAATAAAAGGTACCGATACGCCTATCACAGAAGTTCTTGGTTGGTGGCCGGAAAAGCAGATCCACCAGCTCCTGCGAGGCTTTACGTTCATCCAGATTCACCGTTCAAAGGTGAACAACTTCGTAAGCAAGTTGTCTCATTCGAAAAAGTCAAACTAACCAACAATGAAATGGATAAACACTGTCAGGTAAGAATTCTAATAATTTATAATAATTAATTATTAAAAAAATATATTTTTATATAAATATTCCTAAAACATTTGGATTTTTTTTTTGGGGGGGGGGAGAGAAAAAACTGTGTCAAGGTAATGAACGATTACAATTTCAATCAAACCGGATTACATTTAGGATTATCTTTCCATCGTTTCACGTGACGTTTGTACATCAATCATACTTTTAGACGCAAATCGATTCGCCTTATTACGCTCGGGGGCAAACTTAATATACCCCAGTGAGTGCATTTTTTTTTAAAGCTACTCTTATAAGTTTGCGTGTACTCACTTAAAAATTTGCTTAATTTTCATTTATCACTTTTCACGACTTTATGTGTGCTTTTTACAATTTTTTTATTACGCTATTTACATTCTTTCGGTTTCTGCGCTATACAGCGAGCAGACTTTATGGTTTTTCGAATAACCGTAAAAATCTATGTCTTGATTTCATATCTATATATATAAAAAAAATAAATAAAGTAACACCCGCAATTAAATAAGAATATTAACAAAAATTTAATTTCTCATAAATAACTTTTTATGACATTAAATAAAAATTTCAAAATTATATTTTAAAAATTATTTCTAAATAAATTTTGTTATATACGAAAATGTCATCGACCTAATATGAATCTATTTAATTCAGCATCTGAGGGGAAAAAAATTCAATATTCCCCATATATATATATATTTTATTTCCTGATTGAAATTACTATTATGACTCTCAAGTCTCGCAAAACAAGCCCTCAACGATTTCGTGGCGACAGTTTTATGACAAAAATCTTGTTTCAATATAATTGCAACGAAACGCGTTTTTAGATTATCTTGCATCCATTTTAAAGAATGCCAATGTGTGGATTTATGAAAATTTCAAATCTGTATGCAAAGTGAGAGCGATCAAATAATCAGGTGCAAAATCAGGATATAACATATATATATATATATATATAAATATGCGTGTGTAAATTGAAAGGCAACAAAAAGTCGTTTCTTATGTCTGTAATTTACAAGCAGATGTTTTATAATTTATTGACAACTGCATCAATAATAATATATAAGACAAATCCAATTTTACAAAATGGATAAAAAGAAAATCATATTCTTAAATAGTTCTCGTCTTGCATATGTGTCTTATAAAGATATGAAATCATAGTTTCCTGAATCGATATTTGCTTTAGGTATATTTAAGAGATTTCATCTAATGAAAATTTTTTATATTATATATGTGTGTTATATTTTATGCGCGTATTTAGAAAATTATACATATATATAAGTGCGAGAATATTGTAGAATCATAAAACAAATTTTTATGATTGTTAGTGATAATATTAATTTCGCGATAAAATCATTATTGGAATTTTATTTTTAAAATTATCACTAGACGGCGCCACTATTTATTTCTCAAACTACTTTACCGACACTATATAGATTAGAAACTCGTATCAAAAATTTACCGTTTTCAATGAAACTCGAATTAGAATTTGATTTTTCTGTTTTGTTATAGAATAAAATAAAATAATAAAAAATAGAATAGAATACCAAATTAATATATCGCACACAAATATGCTGATAAATAAATAATTTCTTCTACTGATATAATTAACATTTGTCATTCTCGACAGATGGACATACATTTAAGTTATGTCTGATGATTTTTCACTTTTTAAACTACTTTACCGACACTACATATAGATTAAAAACTCGTATCAAAAATTTAATACTCGCAATCTTTTCAATGAAACTCAAATTCAAATATACATGAAGTATACGAAGAGGCTAAATCAAAATTTTCCCCAAAAAATTCATCTGCAAAAGTATACAAAAAAAGAGAGTCATTTTAAATAAAAAATATAAATTTCGCAGTGTTTTTTCTTGGATATTTTGCCTTTATTTTTTTCATCTCCAATTTAAGAACTTCCTGTGAGCAAAAGATATGGTCATATAAACCGAGATCGTGAAGCGTGAACGGTGCCTAACTAAATCATCATTTGAATCTCCCACGTTGCTCTCTCTCTCTCTCTCACTCACTCTTGTCGAGGATCTCTCGCGTCACATCGGACCCGGGACACAATCCGGCCAGTTTAACGGATTCGCTCACTCGCTGCAAAATTTATGAGCGCAAACGTCGCAATACACGCGTTTCTCGTCTCTCTCTCTCAATCTTTTTTTTTTGTTGTATGTATAGCGGAACAGAATTTTCGAGTTTACGACTCGCCAACAGAATATCCCTCTCCTTTGAACCTATATAATAGTAAAAGAGCAACCAAGTTAACCGTCGGGCGCACGCTGAGTAGCAAGCATGGAGGTCGTGCTTAGCAATAATGTTATATATATATATTCTTGCGGGGAGGTTTTGTCGTAGGTGGCATTAGGAAGGTATAAATGCTATTCCATGATGCCTATAAGCTAATAAATTGAGTAAATGTTTGCCCGTTGCTTTTGTCATGATGATCACACTGCGGTATATAACCCACGCGCACCTCACTTCTCTTCGCATATAAGTACCTTAAACCATTGAATCTCAAGTCACCTGAAACTTTTCGAGTATGTTCTTTATCTTTATGCGCCTTCTCTTCATACCATGTGTTTCTCTTTCTTTGTATATATATATTATACATTCTTTGTGTCTGTCACTTTACGAATGTTATGTGAAAATGTGCTCAACATTTTTGCAGTCAGGTCTTATACGAACAAGTTTTAAGATATCATAAATGTTTCAATGTGTTTCCATTATATATTTTCTTTTATAGATTTTTATCTATATAGAAATTTTTATTATTAATTTTTCAAACCCTTTTTGAGTTCAGTTTCAAATTAGGATTTCCAGTGAATTTCTCATCGTATATGATGACTATGTCAATTTAGATGTATGCAGATGTATTCTTGCATATGCATATGAAATACTTATGCATATAGAGAGAAAAAGAGATTCAGGCAGATGATAAGGTGTATAGATAGAGAAATACATTTATAACAAAAATGTTGAATGTATAAAGTGAGAGAGAGAGAGAGAACTAGAAGTAAGCAGACACACCGGTAAAAGCAGTCAGGCAACGGAACGCCAGTCAAGTCAACTCAACGACTCAAGTGGTAGGGAACATTCCTTTGCTACAGCCACTATTTCATCGTTTCATATGACGCGATATTATAAGACCCCCACCTGCGAGCCAGCTACTACACGGTGGTCCAAAAACAACCGTCCACCTGCTTAATACTAAAGGAAACGATTCTCTACCTTAGGATTATATCCTTTTTCACTTTTCTCGCGCAAGAGAGTCTTGTTTCTCTCCTGATATGATTCTTCTTTTTTTCAGCTTCGTAATACAAACAAAATCTGCTATTCATATAATACTAATTTCGTATTTTTCTCAATGTCCGCTAATTCAGATTTAAAAAACAATATTACCTTCTCAATTTGACTAAAACCATAATTTTTGAGTCACCATTTTAATGACTCTTGAATTTGCTCATAGTAAAGGTGTGAATACCCAACAAATGTATATTTATATTTTATCAAGCGAAAATGTACATGCAAGACCCCATATGCATTCAATATACCCTTCTAAGTGTCGTGTTACGCTCAGTGACTTAATGAAATTAGGTGTATGGAAAAGCGAAACTGTTCTCACGATCCTACTCGATTCTGACAGAAAGAAACTGCTCAACACATTCAAATTCCATTTCAATAGATATATTTTTACCTACTTTACAATTTTTAAATATAAAACACAATTTCTTAAACTCCTCCAAAGAGTCGTCGCTTTATTAGTTTTACTGTGTGTTTTTTTTTCTTGGAAAACAATTTCTCACTGACAAACTACCACTTGAAAGCAAAACCATTTTTCTTAAGAGGCAAACATGAGAGGCGACCTTGCACGCAAGTGCCATAAGTTTCGGAATATCCAAGTCGCGCAACATATAACCGCCTTCGGGATATAGGAAGTAATAATCGCTACCGACGAAAGGGAGAAGCTAAAACTTTATGTAGATAAGTATATTTACAAGTTAACATTCGCGCGCGTTACGCGCCTTTTTAACTGACTGCATGAAATCATGATATTTTAACTATATATATATTATACCTGGCGCAAGGTATATGGTCATAGTGTTTAATGGTAGACATTCTTTTTTATTTCGATATATCTCACGACTAATTTGTTCTAGATAAGAATTTTTCATATTTGAAATGAAAAACATACGATAAATAGGACTGAAAAAGTATTTCACTACTTCATGATATAAGTAGTGAATTATGAATTACACGAAAAATAAAATTCTAATTTTTTAATCCGGAGTTACCGCAATTTTTCATTCTTTTTAGATACTCCCTTCCCTCTAAAGTAGGAAACGTAGCCCCTTATAGAGAATACAGTGCAACCTCGATTAATGAGACACACTCGAACCGTGTCTCAATAAACGAGGTTTCACTGTATTTATTTAATTACTTATACTTATACGAAAATTAAAATTTCATTCAAATTAAAATCATTTCAAATCTATATTATATATATATATATATTTCAAATATGGTAAATAACATTTTGGATCGCGTGGCAAGGCCGTACGGTCGATTTTAAATGACCCTGGTAACGTGTGTCCTCGTCAAGAAACACTCTCTATATATATATGAAACACACGTCGAGTGTATATTCGCCAGCTCGAATATATACCCCGCGCGCTCGTTTTAACACTTCTTTTAATATACTGACATTGCCTTTCAACATTCACAGTCTTAAGGCGAGTGATAAGTGTCCAGCGTCCTCAGTTATCCTGTCGTGGCACATCTTTTTCCGACTCGATATTAGAAAATTATGCAGATAACATGTCCCTTCAAGGCGTAAAGTTACTACCGATAGACAGTATCTGCGCTCATAAAAAAGGCAAATAAAAAAAAAGAATAACGAAAGAAAAATAAAAGAAACATGTGTATATTTAAAACACGACATTCGTCGAGTATATATATATATATATACAACCTCCTTTGTATCTTCAATATATATATGTGATGGAATAATTGTCAATTTGACTTGAAAAATATTCGCTAATTTATATAAAAGAATTTTACAAAACGCAATTGCATTTCTAAAATATGTTTATATTTGTTAAATATACCATACTTATATAGCAAATTGGAAATATTTTTCTATACAATATATAGAGAGAGAGAGAAAAAGAAAAAAAAACTCACACGTGTAATTTTGAAAACTTGATCGATAAAAGAAGCATATACGATTGTGAACAATGTATGTAAGAGATTTTTACACGATTGAACGTAAAAAAAAGTTGTTTAATTAACGACTCGACGTCACGTATAATTGCACACATTGTGAATGATTACTTGCAATAAATTTGAATAATACATTCGATGACAAAAAAAAAAAAATTCAAGACTATGTATAAAATAACTATTGGCATGTTCATTTATATTGATATATGTGAGGAAATAGACAATTTGATTAATCATCTTTATATTAAAAAGAATTTTCTATACACCTGATCCGTTTATAGTCAAAAATTAAATAAATTTTTATTTTATTTGTACTCAACATAGTTGATAAAATAAAAAATCAATCTTTGAAAATTAACAGAAGACCTCGGTGCGCATTGCTTTGGTTTTTTTTCCATAAAACTCAAAACTACACGGAAAATTTTTTTGGGTGAATGAATGTTCCAATGAGACGAAAATACACGAAGTGTAGCTTCAATTAGGAAAAACAATACACTATACCTTATTACTAACTAAACCGCCATATGTGACGCTCCACGAGAGAAGGGATCTCCGAAATAATATATTAGGCTTAGTTTTCATGTACGGTGCACGGAAAACAGCCTAAATGTTATTTCGGGGATAGGTCCCTTCTCTCGTGGAGCGTCACATATTACGACTCCAACTATCGCGGAATTAGGATTTTTTTTTATTTAAATAAAAAAAAAAAATTTTATACTTCAAATAAAATTGTTTCAAAGAGAAATCCACGGTTTTTATTATTGGAAAAGGAAACCACTTTATTTATCTGATTCAAAATAATGGATGAATTTATATTTGCCACTTGACTTAGTGAAATGTATGCGTTTAAGATTTTAAAGAGGAAACTAGATCTAATATCAGTGAGTTTGAATTTAAAATCTCAACATATATATACATACACACACGGAAACTATGTTATTACCATTGCATAGGTATATAGGGTGCATTAAGAGTCGAGTATGTCGTAAGAAGTAAAAAAAGCATCATAAATCGCGAGCGTAATGCTGCTATCAACGTGTATTACATGGATGGCGCGTTGTTTGATAAATCGCCACATGCAAATTGCATGTGTCCAGCGAATGTGTATATATATATGTGTGTGTGGGGAGCGCAAGAACTCGACTGATTTGTACCCACCTTGATAGTTACTTAGGCATTATGCTCGCATACAGTTGATGTAGGTAGTCACTCTGCGTGTACAATACATTATAACGTATACGTATATATATATACATAAACACATGATTATACCCATGATAATGATTTCATGACAATTATATCATATAAATGATTGTGGATGAAAGGAACCCGATAAGCTACAAGCAGATAATTACCAATTGTTTCTGGTTGTCTCAATGACTCATCCCCTCGCCCTATATCGATATAATAGTATCTCGATGATTTCTCTTTTATCATTCATGAATTACGAGATCTTTTCTATTCTGCAATATCAAATAAATGCTGCATTGTTTTTTTCTAGATTGTTATCTCTAAAAACAAATATTGTAATCTAACACCACATATTTATAACTATTATGATTAGATCTATACTAATTCGTTGTTACAAACTCTAAATTTTGGATTTGTAGTCATAAATTCTAACCCAGATATACAAATAATAATTGCTTTGACACAAATTTTAACCTAAAAACTATTTTTTCTTTTCGAGAAATATAACGAAATACGAAAAATTTAATTCTTAAATATATGTCTGATTATACAGATGAAAATGATCGATAATGACACTTTACGCAAATGATGTAAAAACTTCTGATATTGATGGGTGCACGAGAGTTAAACATCTCGTTTATAAATCGACCAAATCGAGCGTATATATTGCGGACACAATATGCGACGGCAACTCAAAAATCTTACAAGTAAACTGTAATTAGAACACGCTACCGTATAATCATGTAAATTGATATACGTATATATATGTAAAATCACCTCACTGCAGATTTATATATATCACATACGTCCTAATGCTATTCCAAAGAAGCGATTAAATCAATTTTTATCGCCAAAACGTGCCTCTTAGGAATTATTATTTCAGCTTCATTTACGTCACTAAGAATTAAAGCGCACAAAATAATACAAATTGATTACAACCCAAAAGAGAACCATCGAAATTTTTTCCGATTCTAATCATAATCTCATAAAAGCTTTTTATAAATTCAAACAATGGATTGATTTTAAGATATATACTAAAAGAATGAAATGAAAATGGAAATGTAAATATTGACAAGTCATCAGTGAGAAATGTGTTAACATATATCGTTTGGAAGTAAGTTATCCAATTGGAGATGCGTGACAGGTTTATCAGATGCCGGGTGCACGTTTAGGTATATATATATATACACCCAAAGCCCAACCGTTTCGTGTTTCGGCAAACGGGACACAGAAGTAAAAGCACAGGGGTTTTGCGAGAAGGGAACACATATCGAAGAGACTATATTGCCGGCCACCTGCACCCGTTAAGTTTCTTCCAGTCGCGGTTTAAGAGCAGCCGCCTTCATATTTCATATTAGCGATAATAAGTGACCCCAACACTTTCATATATACCAATTTACTTTTTTTCCCATTATAAATACAATATATATAAAACATTCATTCGCTCTTCATTTTAATCCACTTATATTTTTACGAATCAATAAACACCTGTATACATATTTCTTCAAGGAATAAAAATTATTGACCCTTTAATGTATACCTACTGCCTATACTCAACAATAAAATAGCTGAAAATTTTATCATTACAGATTATATTAAATTCGATGCATCGATATCAACCGAGGATACATTTGGTACGATGTCGAAATAACAGTAACCATCAGATCACCGATTTACAGAAAGAAGAACACAAGACTTTCATTTTCCCAGAAGCAATTTTCACAGCGGTAACTGCTTACCAGAATCAGTTGGTACGTATATATTTATTAAAATTTTATTAAAAAAAAAAGTAATACCCAATTTAATTTATTTCCAAGAGCCAATTATTTATACATTGATTCAAGATTTATCGCCAAAGTAATTAGCAATACCTACACATTTGAATAATTAAGAAAAAAAAAGAGATCTCTAATAAATTGCTCGAATTTATTAAAACCCAGAGGTGATTATAATGATGAATGAATTTCTTTTTTCAGATCACGAAGTTAAAGATCGACAGTAACCCGTTCGCTAAGGGGTTTCGAGATTCCTCCCGTCTCACAGATTACGACAGGTTTGTTCAAAAATTTATACTAATTAATATTTCATAAATATGCATATTAATTTACAAGATATCAATTAAATTTTTTTGCGACGAAATATGAAACTACTTTTTTTTTTTCAACTAATATCTAAAAGTGTTTTTGGAAACAAAAAAAAAAGGAACGCATTATTCTTGAATTTTGATTAGCCGAGAAGTTTTGAGAGGCTTGAGACTATCTAAGAAGATGGTAAAAGGTAGATCCTCCCCAAATCAACACCTGTCCATGTTAATCCACGACAAGAGATCTAGCTGAGTCATCTCTCTACTCTCACGACCACAAACTCTCTCTCTCTCTCTCTCTGCTAACAAATACGTCATATTGACGTTCCTTTTCGAGATGAATTATCACCTTTCTCTCATTGCTTTATTTACACAAAATTGAGGAGCCTTCAAATATTCCATTTTCAGGTGTTCCTCAAATATTTTTAGATGTTGCAATTTCTACCATATGAAAGAATAATATTTATCAAAGTTATTTAAGAAATGAAATTATAAAGGCCCTATACTGTGTTGCAAATGTAAAATTTGAATTCGCAGATTTAGAAGAAAGAATAATATTCCTTAAAATAATATTGCCTCCTAAAAAATTTATCCTTAATAGAATCATTTGAACGATCTATTTTTAACTCCATAATCTAAAACTTTCTCAAATCTATTCCCAAGACATTCTTTTATATATTTTCCTTTTTTTTCATTTTTAAAAGAGAAATCAATCATTGGAAGTGAAGACCTAGCTCAACATTACCATTAAGTCAGCGAATATAGTTTGCTGATAACATTTCTCTGGAGCATGCGTCGCTGCTGTGGCTTGACCGCGGCAACAACGGCGGCGACCGAGTTAATGAGAGAGCGGCTTTTACCAGGGCAATACAGCGCATGCGCAACGCCCACTTCACGCCGGCGCTGATAGATAGATGCCCCTCCGGCCGCCGCCAGCCCTCTTCTTTCACCCTCTTCTCGAGGAGAGGATCGTTTCCCCCACAAAAAAAAAAAATTTTTTTCTCTCTCTTCCCTCTCACTCATATATATATATACCTACATAACTGATATACTCAGCACTAATGCTCTCTTTCTTACTCTTTTGGCTTTTTCTCTTCACACATATACATTCATACATACGTATATATATAGCTTTTTGTTCGCCGCACGTCCTCATCCACGTAATGCCAAAGAGACCCAATCCGTTCGCTTTTGCTCCGCAGGGCAAGGAGGGCAGGGCATTCATCTATATTAGCTTCGAGAGCGGGCGGCCTGTCATTACCGCTGCCGCTTCGGCTCACTTTCCCCCCACCCTTAAAAACACTCTCCACTTGCTCACCCCTTCCCTCTTCTCCTTTTTCTCCGCCGCTAATAAATGTCTTCTCCTGCTTTCATGAGAGAAAAAGAATGATTTTCCTCCCTGCTCTTTTTTACTTGCGCTTTTATATAAAAATAAATTATTAGGTACATTAACCCCACATTGGATCTGTAAGACCTCAATTTAAGTATATTCAAATTACATTTTCCAATCAGAATTAGAAGAAATTTTTAGTAACAGTCTGACATTTAACGAATCATACTACTGTCGAGAATATTATTAAGAAGGGAAAGAAAGTTCCTAAACGGCAAAATTTCTGATTTTTTTTTTCTCTCCCAACGTTTTAACCAAACTTTGGTCTTTGAACTTTCCTTATCCCCTTACATTCGGGTCTTTATTTTTTCTCACGACCATTACTTTCTTATTTTATCTTTAACCCCCCCTCCTTTTCGTCAAGCTTCATACCTCTTGGTTTCCGCTTATTATTTAAAAATAACTCTCTTATTCGCTACTTTATGCTTTTCTTAATATTTTTAACTTTGGTTTGTTTAAAATTCTTCTCTTTCTTTTCATTACTCTACACCATCAATCTCTAAATATACTCAAAAAAGTTTTCTAAAAAAAAAAAAAAAAAAAAAAATTGTCTCTAGAAAGAATTGAACCCTGGGCGTAGAGTTCGTTGAACGTGTATACATTACCTCTAAACCGCATTGAATCATTTGACAAAATTTTCTTTAATTTAGTTTTTATAAACACAGAAAATTAAAAGGCATTAAAATAAGCTGCAACGCTTATTATTTTAATCCAATTTCGCTTATTTTAATTCATTTTGGTATTAAAATAAGCAAAATTGAATTAAAATAATAAGCGTTGCAGCTTATTTTAATGCCTTTTAATTTTCTGTGATAATAACTAATGCCATAGTAACTAATGCCACAGTAACTAATGCCATAGTAACTAACTGCTACCGCAGTAACTAATTCCACAGTAACTAATGCTACAGTAACTAATGCTATAGTATCTAACTATTACCACAGTAACTAATGCCATAGTAACTAACTGTTACTACAGTAACTAATTCCACAGTAACTAATGCCACCGTAGTGAATGCCATTGTATCTAACTGTTACCACAGTAACTAATGCCATAGTAACTAACTGTTACCACATAGTAACTAATTCCACAGTAACTATAATGCTACAGTAACTAATACGACAGTAACTAATGCCATAGTAAGTAACTGTTGCCATATTAACTAACTGTTACCATAGTAACTAATGCTACAGTAACTAATGCCACAGTAACTAATGGCATAGTAAGTAACTGTTGCCATATTAACTAACTGTTACCATAGTAACTAATGCCACAGTAACTAATGCCATATAGTAAATAATGTCACAGTAACGAATGACACAATAACGAATGAAATAGTAACTAATGCCACAGTAACTAATGTCATCACAGAAAATTAAAAGGTATTAAAATAAGCGTTGCAGCTTATTTTAATACCTTATAATTTTCTGTGAAACTTTTGAATTTGTCACAAATTTTGGTTAAAATTTTAGTTCTAGGGACCAAAACTTTGTGACGTAAATTCGATTTTATAATATCCTGAGTCTCAATTGGGGAAAATTTTGTCAGAAGATCCAATGGTTTAGTGGTAAAGTACACGTTCTACGAACTCTAAGCCCAGGGTTCAATTCTTTACAAAGTCAATTTTTCTATTTTTTTTTTTTTAAAGTTTTTTGAGTATATTCTTAGGGATTGATAGTACATAGTAGTGAAAAGAAAGAGAAGAATTTTAAACAAACCAAAGTTAAAAATATTAAGGAAAGTATAAACTGTAAACATAACCTACAATTCGTTTACTTCTAAGGCCTCTTTCTTCAGAGCGCGTCACAATTATAAAATACTTTTCTAAAATTTGAAACTAACTTTCTTTCCGTGTAGTTGAAAAATATCTAGCTAATTTTTCACATTAACGTATTGAGTGTTGATCAAAACAATTCGAGTTCCTTATCCGTTTTCTTTACCTCGCGCGGTCATTTGTGAGCGTTAACCCATTAGCGTCGCGAGCATCATCGAAGAGGGCAGAATAAGAAAGCTAATGACTGCCGTTTAAAACGCAAAAACAAAGGCCAGGCAAAAGGAGAATAAAAATAAGAAAAAGAAGATGAAGAAAAAGAAGCTTTTAAAGGAGGGACAGCGCTAGATGTGAGAAAGGGTTGCGAGTAGTAGTGCAAGTAAGAACAAAATGAGGAGGAGCTGAAAAGAGGAAAGAAGAATCGGAGGCTTTAATATTGCCTGCACAACCTACGCATCGGCTTTTTGAGAGTGAGAAAGATAGAGAGAAAGAAAGACAGAGACGAGAAGGCGTCAAGAGTCATTACCGGATCATTACCGACCATACCTACCGTGCGACGGCGATGATGATGGGCCGACCCATGAGCAACAGGCCCTAACACGCGCGTATTCATCTTTACCAATACTTTTGCATCGTTCTGATAATTTCCACCTTCGTACATACACTGCGCATCGATACCTTCACACCCTTTGCAAGTATCGACACACACACACACACAGTTTTGGTTAGTAACGCATGTGCAGCGCGGTTGGCGGCAGCCGGGTAAATTACAGGCTCGGACCGTATTTTGTTGTTTTGTTGTTTTTCAACGCGCCGAAAGGAAATGAGCGAGCAAACGCGTCACGCCACCCCGAACCTGCTAATTTCTATTCATATTTTATGGCTATTAATTTCTTCGCTGTTACACTCTTTCTCTCTCGATGTTATACCATCATCTCACTTCCTTCTCTTTCTTCTTGCCTCTTCTTCTTCTTCTTCTTGCGCTATATGCGCATTCTCTTTTTTAACCGTAGTTTTTTCTTATCTCTTCAGTGCACATATACCTAAGGAGGAATTTCCCAAAAATATTCTATGTTTATAAATTAAAAACATAACCTAAAAATTAAACTTGAAATTATACAATTTTCTACTATACACGCGAGAGTCAATTTTCTGATACAAAAAAAAATCCACTTCCTTTGCATAATGAAAAAGCCCTTGAGGCTTTGAAAATTACCTCTAAAAGGTCAATTTTCCGGCAATTCATTCTGATGAACTGTCTTCGTGCTTCCAATTTTTCCATTGCATGCGTGGAAAAGACCAGAGCGATCGTCGGCAAATCCATTCGATGGACTACCTTCGCTCATCAGCGGGTGTAACCTATTATTATCTACCACTTACCTAACGCCCTATGTCAGCCTCGGAGCTATATATATTTATATATACAAAAAGTGGGGGCATCAGCAATAACAACCCCTCTCTCTCTCTCTCTCTCTCTCTCTCTCTCTCTCTCTCTTGTCGATGGAATTCCAACATATATAATATACAATATATTTTATTGTAACACCCATTTCTTTTGGACAATATTGTCCAAGGTCGAAAAGCCGCTGGCGACTAAAAGTCTAAAAACGAAGGTCTTTGCGAGAAACGGACCTCGCATCGTCCTCGGAAGTGGACTAAATGCCTTTCGTGATGTGCCGAAGACCGGTAAAGAGGATCGCGTGAGAAACCTTAGGCCTCGAACGTCCCGTGATCCCTCAGGCAAGCCTTGCAAACCTGTGTGTCGAACTACTCTCTTGGTTCCATAGCTTATCTATATAGAAAACTCCTTAGAATTAGTCCCGGTGATTTTGTCATTATTTCACGTTTCCCTTACACACTATATAGTTTGTTCCATTAGCCGGATATTATATTTTCAATTTTATATCCGGTTCGATATACATTAAGTTAATGGATGAGCGGTAACTTCCAAAGATGATTTTTCTTTTCAAATCATTCTCCCTTTAATTTTATAGGATGAATTAAAAAGCCTCTTAAATCTGTATAGTACGACAAATATAATTGATTCTCAGTGAAGGTACAAATTATCAATTTTTCGCAAATGATTATTTTTTCAAGCCTTGAGCACAAGGCATCTGTTTTTAAAGAAAAAAATACAAGCCAAATCGATCTAAATATTTATCGCAAAGTAACAACAGAAGCAGAGATATATAACGAATAATAGTAATAGGAAGAAGATTCTAGATGAAAAATAGCTATAATTAGCATTTTATTATCTGTACATAAGGAAGCAGTTGAAAAATAGTAAAGTTAAAAGCAAGGTCGACTGGAAATTATCAAAGGCCTTTTCCCATATTCCTTTACGAAGTGCTTTCACTGCGTATATATATATATATATTGCGCTCTTCCGTCGTTTTTCTCTCTTTTTACTTCTCTGAAATGAATATAATACCGCATCACTTCCGTTTTACGTATATCCCATCGACATTCAAGTACACTCACGGGTAAATTTACACAGAGTGTAATTTAATTTTGAAATTTTTTTTCACGTCCAAATAAAGTAATTTCGTTCCAAGATATTATATATACTGTTTGCATCCAGTGATGGTTTCATTCCAAAAAAGAAGAAAAAATACAGTTACATTAAAGACACGGCTATAATTGCATACCTAGAGTCCAAAATATGCACCTGATGCTGCAAACTTTTTTCTTTTTTTAACATGCTCAAAAATATAAAAAGTTTGAAACATATATTTTAAGGGATTCGGGGAATATTAATTCCTCTGGCAATTCATAAAGCAAAATATATTATTTTTCGGATCTCTCTAATCTAAATTATAACAATGCCTATATAATGACAAGCGTAATCTAAATTAACAAAAGGAGAGTGGACAACAATACTTCAAATTTTCTAAAAAATTTAAACAAAAAATCTAAATATAACTAAGTAAATTTTTCCATGACAACTGTTATCACAGCAATTGTTATCATGACAACCGTCACCACAAAAACCGTTACCATAACAACTATTTCCATAACAATTGTTACCACAAAAACCGTTATTATAGGAACTGTTTCCGTTACAACCGTTACAATAGCAATTGTTACTAATGACAACCGTTACCATAGCAACTGTTTCCATGAGAACCGTTATCATAATTGTTACCATAGCAACTGTTTCCATGACAACCATTACCATAATTGTTACCATAGCAACAGTTACCATGAAAACTGTTACCACAAAAACCGTTATTATAGGAACTGTTTCCGTGACAACCGTTACAATAGCAATTGATACCATGACAACCGTCACCATAGCAACTGTTATCATAATTGTTATAACAATTATGATAACGGTTGTCATAGCAACTGTTTCCATGACAACCGTTACCATAACAATTGTTATCATAGCAACTGTTACCATGACAACCGTTACGGTATATTTGAAATAAAACGTCTTTCACTGCACATAAGCGTGCTGATTAATAATTAATATTTTCTTCTACTAATATAATTAACATTTGTCATTCTCGACAGATGGACATACATTTAAGTTATATATGTCTTTGGTGATTTTTCACGAGCTAAAAATTTGGATAAATAAAAATTATATAAAAGTTTAGGACAAATTATAGTTAAGTCAATATAGATGAAGTCTTTCAGTGTGCGGTATTAAAATTTTGAATATATCTATGAAAGATAAGAATCAACTGCGTTTTACTTGATATTGAACGATTTCAAAATTTTAATACTTGTTACATTTTTAAGATCCGCGAAGCCTTAATTTTCAACTTAAATAGAAACAACTAAATAATGTCATTATTGTTGAAATATGCGTCAATTGCAGTGCGGATTAAGGGTGCGATATTTTACGAACAAGGAGAAAGAGAGAGGAGAAGAGATTGTGAACGCGCAAATGTGTGGTCCGGCACGTCCAAAAAGCGACGGCGATTAGCCCTGGACCTCTAATCCCCCTTTTTTCTCCTATACAGCCCCTGGTCTCTTTTGGCATGATATATATGCGTGTGTTGTTATATATATATATATATATATACATATACAGGAACCCCAACGTGTGTTACACACTGATGAACTACGCCAAGTGGCTATATCGAGTTACGCGTTAGTAACCGAGACCTGCGAACTGCACACCGGATCCATTGTTCAACTCACTCTTTTTTTTTGCATTCTCCACTTAACTTAATCTCAACTGTTTCCTGGCACTCAAAAAGGTGTCACAAGAAATCAGAAAAAAAAGATATTTTTGTTTTATTATTTGAAAATCGCATTAAAAGAGCTTTAGGATAATAATATTGAAGAGAAAGTTTAGTGACATATCTCTCTCTGTTGCTCAGGAGCATCAGAGACTTTATAGAACCATTAATTATAATATCATGGACTTTATGCGATGACTTAATTACCCGTTTATTAGCGTCTCTTGATGATCAACTGCCAGTGTTTCAACACACAATCGATTGCAATTAACCCTAATTAAGCATAATCATTGCATATGTAAGGACATCAATTATGTTTTCCGTCATGACATGTAATATTCTCAATACTTAATTACTCATCTTATATTTCCTTTAATTTAACTATAAACATTAATTTTAGAGAGATTTAGATGTAGAGAATAAATATATAAATGAAATATTAAATTGTATTTTGCCTTTTTTTTTGCAGAGATCCAATGGAGTTGATGGAGCAACAACTAGTGAGATGTGGAGTTCCTTCGGTAAGACTATATGAACATCTAGCGATATCATCACCGGCAGCTGCGGCACACAGTATACAACAACAACAACAGCAGCAACAACAACAACACGACGGCTCACAACATCCGTTACCACCTTGGTTACCGCCATCAGCCACCCTTCTTTATAGTGGGGTCACACAAAATCACAGTAGAGGTGGAACGCCAACGGCTTACCCGGCCAGTCCAACCTTCCCCTACCCCGTGGCTCTGCCGTGGCCCTGGCAACCCCCGGTAGCGATGATCTCCCGACGATCGTCTCCCTCGTCGGCGACAGCTAGCCCCGGGGTCAGGTATGCTCCCTATCCGCGACCCGCCTCCACACCACCGCCTTTACGCGCACGCCCGTCCACCCCCAATTAGCGATCCACCACCGGCTACCACACCCCCCAACGAATACTCCTATCTGCTACTGTCTAGAGAGAGAGAGAGAGAGAGTGAACCCGCAAGCGTTTTTCAAAAACTTTTTTTTTTCCCCCGGTGCTCATATTCTTTGCAAGAGACAACATTTCATCTCTCTTTTTGCATAGTTTCATTTTTATGTCAAAATTTTCACAATTCAGAGAAAAAGCATAATATTTTCTATATCCAGTGTACGAGAGAGAAAGGAGAGCGAGAGACACGATAAACATTTTTTCAGATTCTCTAAATTCGAATTAGTTACTTGCGCCGATTAGTTCATTAAATGAATTAATATTTTTAATCATTCAGTCAAAATACTCTCTAAATATTTGAATTAAGTACAAATTTTAACTAAACTAAAAAAATTTACTGTGGCAGCAAATAAATTTGCTGTTATATCAAATTACGTTAGCTAATACAGGGACAGCGAACAAATTTGCTGTAAAGTCAAAAAAGTTTGGTAAATTTTAAAAAATTAAGACTGATATTGTTTATCATAGCAAACTTTTTCGTTGTCATAGCAAAAAATTTACTGTGGCAGCAAATAAATTTGCTGTCATATCAAATTACGTTAGCTAATACAGGAACAGCAAACAAATTTGCTGTGGGGTCAAAAAATTTTGGTAAATTTTTAAAAATTAAGACTGATATTTTATATCATAGCAAACTTTTTCGTTGTCATAGCAAAAAATTTAGCTGTAGTTACTAATTTTGATAGATCTGGTAGCAAACATCAGTTAGCATCTATAAGCAATGCCTTTTTTTCCGTGTAATTTGAAAACTTTTTTGTTTTTACTCGGAAAAAAAGAAATACAAATGCTAACTGATGTTTGCTATCGGGTCTATCAAAATTAGTATAATCACAGCTAAATTTTTTGCTGTGACAACGAAAAAGTTTGCTGTGATAAACAATATCAGTCTTAATTTTTAAAAATTTACCAAATTTTTTTAACCCCACAGCAAATTTGTTCATTGTCTCTATATTAGCTAGTTCGATGTGACAGCAAATATGTAGTTTGCTGCCACAGCAAAGTTTTTCTATGCGTGTAGTTAAATTTTACTAATTCAAAAGCAAAACATGAATTACTAATTCAAATTAGTTTAATTTTTTTATTGTTAGAGATACCCAGAAATTTCGGACAGTTGCTTTTACTTTGTAAGTATATATAGTATTCTTAGTTAAGTGACTAATTCAAATTTAGAGAATTTAAATATAATTTTTCCTAAAATTTTGTTTAATAAAAAAAGATCTGTCATTTAATAAGAGGTCATTCATAAACTACGTTACCTATTTTAGGACGGGGGTCAAAAAGTCTAAAAATTATTTTAACGCAATGTTAAAGAGGGGGGAGGTAAAAAAAAATGAAAAATTGTTTAAGTAATTTATGGATGGCCCCTTATTATCTAATAATTTTGTGTTTATGAAAAAACTCAGAATAAAATGTACATATAATCTATAGGTATTAGCATATATAGCATCCATCGAAGGTCAGTTATTAATTTCGAATTTGTAATTAAAATTATGTTAATCAAATTTTTTATGCCCTCTCACATATATTATATATATACTATAAACAGTTGTGTATTCAAGAAAACAAACCGTCTTCCTTCTAACAATATGCAGAATTCCAATATATTCTTATCGCTCTGTGATAATATCGCTTAATTACTTTCACAAAAGTTATAATTTATAAGTTTTTCAAATTTGCTCAAACACTCTTTATCATCACGAATCTCTTCGACATGATTTAAGAATCATTGATATATATATATATAGTAAGTTCCGTACCGTTTTTTCCCCCTTTTTCAAAAATGTTACCTTTAAACGAAATAGCAACCAGTACTGTATAATAATATATATATATTTATAAATTATTATAACGATTTTGTTGAGTCAGCCTTCGCGGAGCCAAAGAAAAAACACACTCGTCCGTTTTTTTTGCGGACCTCTTAGATTTTTAAGTATTTATATCACGTACAAGTTTGTACAAAATTTTAGAACAACTTTTAAAACAATTCTTTTAAAAAATCGTATATTGTATACTAGAAGTCTATTTATTATTATTATTATTATTATTATTATTATATTTCAGTTATAATCACTTTATTACTGTTTAGATAAGTGATTTATTAATTTATGTACAGAGCAAAGATTTTGTTGATCATAAGCAAGATTTCATTTTATTACATATTGAAACAAATTTTTTTTAAATCTAAAATACTCTTTAGAATATGTTAAAACTTTTTTTCTTGTTTTTACTTTAGTCTAACTTGTAAAAAAAAAAAATGGTTACAATCTTGATTCTGATAAACAAAAATACCACTCTCTAGTTTTTAATTTAGAACATTGTAAATAATAATTAATGAATTAGTATGTGTGCAAGTGCACAAGTTGTTGTAAATTCCGTTTTTAATGTTGGAAAAAAAAGAGTCGAGAGTATGTACACACACACACGTCTCTGTAATATGCGGAATGTATGCGCATGTGTAAGTATTGCAAAATAGCAAGTAGAAATTTCAAAAGTGTAAAAGCAAGAGACACAAAGAAGAAGAAAAAGAAGAAGAAGAAGAAGTAAAATGTACTATAATCCATAAAAGTATTACCGAGGTCTCTTTGCAAGATGGTGATATTTGTATATAAAAAAAAAAAGATGTCGTACGTATATAGCTTACCATAAACTGAATGTAGAACGAAGAAAAAAAAATTAAAATGAATTTTCATTAAAGTGCAAAGTTTAATTACACAAATATAACCTAGTTGTTTTATTTACTAATATTGTATCCTAAACAATAATCCTCTATATTTATGAAACCACAATTTGAATCACATTCACAATTAGCAGTAAATAGTGATTTATGACTATTTCGGTTAATTATCCGAACAGTATGAATAATTGCTGTGCATTTATCTAATTATTAACGATTGCACTTCTAATTATTCAACGCTATTTATTGCAGTTATGTTTCTAACTCAATTATGCCTTTCTTTATAGTGTTCTCTTTCCCATAGGTATATATATTTTAATTTACAATATAGATTAAACTATAGTAAAAAATTTTTACGACTTGTTTTTTTTACGAATATATTTAAATATTAATAAAAGTTATTTTCAAAATTTAGATTCATTAAATTAATTCATGTTCGAATGCAAATAACTCGTTAAAAGTAGATACGCCTAAATGGAGCACTATTGGTTATTCAAGGCCATGAAGCGTCAGCCAATCGTCGCTTCATGATCTTCAAAAGTAGCCAATCAGAGTGCTATGCATTTAGGACAACCTCGAAGATTACGAAAGTAAAGGCGGTTATTGCATCCGAGTGTAAAAAATCTTTCGATTCTACAATAAATTATACTACTCACTAGGATTTTTATAAATATTTGATAAAAAAATAAGAATTAAAACAAAACAAAACTGTTAAAATTTTTACACATATATATAAGTTAAAAGTGAAAAATATAACACGACAACACGCTGCGAGTATATCGCAGTAATTCACTCATGCGTGAGTATGTTTTATATTTTAAGGACGATATTAAAAAGCCAGTAATTTACACAACAATACAACTTCTAACAGTATAACCAAAACTAATCAACAAAAATGATTCATTAAATTTTTTTTTATTTGAGAAAAGTCATATATATTTATATATAGATTTACTAAATCACCGGCAATTTCATCATTCAGATAAAAAGAAGCTTTGAAGGAAAAAAAACAGGAAAACCACACAACAACCTTGTTACACTTTAGATTGGAGAATGAAATCTATTATCTGTCACATATATTATATTGTCAGGATGTTGTGGCACAGATAAACACGGCAGGGGTTGATGCTTCAATATTAAATCGTTCTCAGATATATACTATATAAACTGTGCAAAAGAAAAATGAGCAAAAAATTAAAAGAGCATTATAAAAATCAGATCTTTTTATACTAAAGAAATAATTTTACTATACTGATTTCAAAAATTGTTTCAATTTAAAGAAATCTTGCAATGATCAGCGAAAAAAAAAAGAGTAAGAATTTTTTAAGTCCCCCCTATACTCGCGTTCAGAGAATATCTCTCATGGACTTTTATCCCGTCACCCCAAACCCCTTCTACTCCGCCACCCAAGCTTCATCGCACCTTCAACTGCCGTGTAATTCTGTTATACCTATCTGAAATTAAATAAATTCATTTCACGCCCTGTCAGCGCGCAATTATTTTTAGATGCGGCCATTTTAAAGTCCGCTTCGTACCATGACTAACACACACACCTCGACCCCTCTGGCCTGAACTCGGGAGCACGTTCGCATATATACAAAACAAAACACAAACGCAATGCAAAAAAAAACTCAAATTCAGCGCTAAACGAAATTAAACGATTATAATTCACCGTATCAGAAAAATTAGACAACTAAAGTGATTTTTGCAAACAAAATCAGATGAATGATATAGAAGCAACAGTTAAAATCAGGTTTACTTTTAAAAGTAAAGTTAAATTTTCAAGATCAGTATTCTGAACAAACATTTTTATCAATTTTACACTACAGTGGAACCTCGATTATCCGAACTAATCTAGGCAAGGCCGGGTTCGGATAATCGAAAATTCGGATAATAGAGATTTTAATTTTTTTTATAATTAAAGTAAAAAATGTACAGTTGAACTATATATTTAACTTAATACATATGTTTTTAAATATACATAAGTATATACATATATGTAAATATATATTAATTAATAATATATTAAAAACTCAGAAAATTCGGAAATTTTTAAGATTTTTTTTGGCATAAATTTGGTTATTTTGCTTTGAATGATAAAATAAATAGAGAAAATAAAATTTAAAATTCGGGAGACCAAAAAATAGTTCGGATAATAGAAGTTCGGATAAAATGTTTTTCGATTCGGATAATAGAGGGTTCGAATAATAGAGGTTCGGATAATCGAGGTTTCACTGTATATTCAAATTTCCTTATAGGAAAAACAGAGTGTTATTTTAACACAGAATTTGATGTTAAAATACGCAACAATAATTCTAATAGTTGAGTGTTAAATCTTATGGGTTTGGACTAAATTACCCGTAACGTAAAAAGAATGTACTAAAACAGTACCGATTTTAGGTATCAAAATAGAAACAGAGTGCAACAAAAATAACACCGCAGCTTTTTTCTGTGTACAACAGAATTTCACATTAACTCCAATTCCATAATACCCAACATAAGAAATAAATGAAATTGAATAATTGGAATCGGGGTTTATCCAATTCTCCATATCAAATTAATCCAATTTCAATAAAACCTAATTGTATTAGCTATTTCGATATTTCCAATTGGAGGACACTAAGTATTCTATATAGAAGAGGGAAATTGACTATATATATATGTGGGACACAAGATATATAATGTGCATTAATGTGAGGTGTGGGACGAAAAAGGAAGAGAGAAACTTGAATAGGGAGGCGGGGTGGTAGTGCATCTTCTGAGAGAGCCTCGTAAAATGGAAATCAATTACATCTACACTTAACCACTTAAACTGGTTTCGCTACGGTCCTAAAGCGCGCACATCTCAACAGCGGCGCGGAGAGTGAAAATCGAGGATTCCAAACCCGAGCCAAGTTCACTAAAATCGAGCGCGAGAAGGGTAGCTCGAAAAGGATCCGCATCATCCAATGCAGGATCTAGAGAAAGAGAGAGAGAGAGAAAGACTTTGGCACGTAGCAGCCGGTGAGCACCGCTGGAGGCTCCTCTCTCTGTTCTGTGGCGAGCCGCAGATCATTCGTATCAACATAATTACAAGCTCGGAAGCCGCCTCTCTGTTTCTCTCACCTTGCTCCACCCATCACAACATCACACACACGTTCGCTTATATTCCCCCGCCGACTACGACGATGACGACCCTGTTCGTAACCTATGTGTCATCCCCTCCTTTAGTCGCTAATTCACCTTCCATTTTTTTCATTTGTTGAACATTTTTTTAATATTAAATCTTTCCTTTTAAATTTCAAGTATTTAAATTCGTATAATAATAAATAGAGAGCCTTAAATCGTTCACTCAACTCAGTCAAAGCTTCTATATATCTAAAAACGAAGAATCTGTTTCCGACTGACAAAATTTTGGCCAACATCAGAATCAAGAAGAGGAAATTTTTGAGGTAGAGAGCAGGAAGCAATTATACCCATTTCAAAATCATAATTTCTAACAATAAATGTACAACCCTATAAAATTCTTATAGAATTTTATTAAGATTCAATCTATTTCAGAAACAGTGTCCAATTGAATGAATCGGAACCAATGATCCTTAGAAAAAATCAGTAGGAGCTGATTAGAACCCATTTTAGAATCATCATATCTGATTCATTCAATTGGATTTAGGGCAAGTTCCACCAACCAATCATCGATTAAAGCCAAATTAACCACTCATGACTATGGTCAGTTAGGCATTTAATCGATGATTAAATTTAAATCGGAGTTGGTGAAATAATTATATGTTTCTAAAATGAGTTAAATCAGCTTTAATAAGTTTCTATAAGAATTTTGTAGGGTTCTACTTACTGTTGGTAGGGAATGATGATTCTAAAATATATCAATTGATTTTATAGTGACTTTGGGGTTATTTAGATAAAAATTCATCAGATTTTGCCGACAAAATTTTGCCCTATACTTCAGAACCACAGACTATATACTTTTCTGAAGTAGTTTGACGTGCTAAATCCGAATCTTATACCTCAAAATTGATCCAGCACGTCAAGTTTCTGAAATATTCTAACCTGAAAGTTCAAAAATGACGTTTTTCAACTATATACTTCAGATCATGTAACAATAATTTTTTCAAAAAGGTGGTTACAGCAGAGAAAATTAAAAGGCATTAAAATAAGCTGCAACGCTTATTATTTTAATTCAATTTTGCTTATTTTAATACCAAATTGGATTAAAATAATAAGCGTTGCAGCTTATTTTAATGCCTTTTAATTTTCTGTGAGCATCTGAAAGTAGTATTCTTATACCCTTGGGTTTTGAAACTTTAAAAAATCTTTATTCGGCTCTGAGTTATTGTCATTTCAATTTTAAAACTATAACTGTCCGCAGTTTTTACGCATTTCTGACAATTTTTACTCCAGAAATAGTAAAAATTATTTCGAAAATAGTAAATTTTACTATTTCTCGAGTAAAAATTAATAGAAATGCGCAGAAACTTCGGACAGTTCCCGTTTTAATTTTAAAGTTAGACATTCACCAAAAACTCAAAAAATTCAAAGAACAATAATTCAGAGCCAAAAATAAAGATTTTAAAAATTTTCAAAATGCATTTTAAGGGCTAAGAATAGTACTTCCAGAAGTTGTAACATTTTGAAAAAGAAAATTATTGTTACATGCGTCAAAAAACGTCTTTTTGCACTTTTATAGGTTAGAATATTTAGAAAACCTAACGTGCTGGTTCAATTCTAATATCAGATTCGGATTCAAAATACTTGTCTGGTTTTTGGTTCTGAAATAGGCAAAAATTTGGTCTACCTTTGAGAGTAAATCATATACTATAACGGATTCCCCTAAATTTTTCACACTCTCGATATACTTATTTTCAAGCCTCAAGGTCTTAATATACGTCTCATTTGTATGAGTAATACTGATTTACAGTCAAGTTGTGAGAATCGGTTCGCGGCATACAATTAGATTGATTTATCGGCGTTTATTCAGATTAAGAGCGATAGCTGCATTATTATATATAGGGCTTCCGTACATGAGGTTTCTGGTGTCCTCGAGCTGATC